GTTCATGACTGCTGCATATAACCTACCTATGATATCATAAGTTACATAAGCAACTAAGTTATGAATATTTACTATGCTTAAGCATGTATGATATGAAGTCAAATAAGAAAATGGTGATTGTGTTTCTCCAATTACCCAAGAGATGTTATTTGCCTTGAAAGTTCAGCATTTACTGAGAATTATATATATATATATATATATATATATATCTCACTTCCTCACAACTAATATTATAGTTGTAAGAATGGATATCAAAGTACAATAAAATTGAAATAGCATCCAAATATAGAATTCATAATGTTACTAGAATGTAATCATTTTTGTCTTAGTTAATCAATTTATATAAATCTTGTTGATAAATAACCAGTGTTGCAATATCAATATTCAACCCACAATTCTTTCTCTCTCAATTGCAAAAATGATTCCTTGTGATGTGATTGACTAGCCTGAGGCCAGCAGTTGTTATGCTTATCTTAATAAGATTACTTTTTACCATCTTTACATCTTGAAATAGCCAGCATATAAGATAAACTGATAAAAATCTTTCTTGATATGATGAAAGTAGAAAAAATGTGTTTAGTTTGAAGAATTCTCTTTCTCTCTCTGATCACAAAAGATAAATTAAGACTCATTAGTAAACACACAGCATATCCTAACATTCCTTCAATTCTAGTCAAGTAATTGAGAAACTAGACATTTTCTTGATGGTGTGTGTGTGTCGGGTGGTGGTGGTGGTGGTGGTCTCTGCACGATAGCAGTGAGGCTAATATTTCTACAACATCAGGTCACCTGACAAAATTTGAAGGTGATGTTAATTCGCCTATTTTGCAAAGATGTCTGAGCACAAAAAAAACAAAAAAAAACAAAAAACAATTGGATGTAATATTTTCTCTCCTATCTTGTGTTTTTATATAAGAATTATAAAAAAAAAAAAAATTATTCATGAAAATATTTTCACCTTCAATTTAGTTTTGGGTAGATTCTTATTTTTCTTTATTAATGTGAATAAAAATAACAAATTTAATTTAACAGATACTATGCTTTAGAAGTCTTCAGAATATATGTGGTTTAAGCTTATATATATATATATATATATATATATATATATATATATAGATATATAGATAAGTAAATGAAATTGAAAAATGACACTAATCAATTCAGATTAATTCTGAAGTTAGAATATAGATACATGATTATGCCTGTCCTGGGTATGACGATAAACTATATTCGCGGCTAGGGTAAGATGATAAACTACATCCAACAGCAAGGCCTCTGATCAGGAGGCTTTGAGGAGCATGGAACCATCTCTTAATTGCTGGTGTTACCAGGTTCACCCTGAACTGGGGTGGTAGCACCTGTTAGAGTCCCAGCTATGGGCAAATAGTTAACCACGAATCTGAGGTAAAAAGCATTATGAAAGTGTAAAACTAGGTTTTAATACCAGAAATACTTTGTAAAAAAATTATTACCAGAAATAAATATTGGAAAAAAAAACAAAACAAACTATTACCAGCAATGTTTTTGGAAAAAAAAATATTACCAGCAATACATTTTTTAAAATAATATTACCAGTTACAGTTAACCACGAAGTTAACCTTTCCTCTTAATAATAACAAACATTTAGACAATAAAATTTTGTTTTCGGCAAGGTTGGCGTCTTTTTCATCAAGCTATGCTCTTTTTTTTAGCGATTGAATATTATGTATATTCACTAACATATAGTTATAGCTCTGTTTTATAACATTGAGCGCTGTATTTATAACACCTGAGGAATAAATATACTTATGCATGTGCAAGTATTTGTATGTACATTTTTTTATCCTATCCATTCATATATATATATATATATATATTCATATATATATATATATATGTATGTGTGTGTGTGTGTGCACGTGTGTGTATATATGCATACATATATGTGAATTTGTACAATTTTCCTAGCTTTCAGGTAGAGTTTGAACATGAAATTTATTAACCCACAAAAAATCATAGACAAAGAACACCATTGGAAATTTGTAAACTTAAGGAATCAGTACATATGCTAGGCCACAAAAATCTCTGGAGCTGACCAAGCATAGAAATGAATACAATATGGGTACCAGTAATAAAGAGTGCCAGAGAAAAGTGATAACAAAAAACTGCAATATGAGCTCTGTTGAAAAATGTTTGCTGATTAGGTTTATAATATCCAGAAATTCATACACAAATGTCCTCAAGGACACATGGCACAGTGGATAAAGGTGTTAGTTAGATCCAGTGACAGGACCCAAAGAGTGCAAGTTCAATACCCGGTTAAGGTAGAGGAGAATTAACAGGAGATAACTGACAACTGATATCCATTTTAACATGGCACATGGAACTATAACAGTAGACTGTTATAGTTCCCCCAGTGAGCAAAATAATAGGTTCAGTTTGACATTCCAATTACCTGAAGAAGGCCGGAGACAAAGATGAGGACAATAGTTCAAATAATGTAAATAATAATAAAATATGATAATAATACCTCAGACAGATACCATCATGATAATTGTTTATGAAAGCTAAAACCTAATATAATTACCTATTTATATTTATGTATTTGACAGTCATGATTGTTACATTCACCTTTGAATCCATTTTCTCTCTTTTCAGTTATGAGTTAAATAGCAGGTAAGACCAGACTTTCTAGTCACTATAGCAGAAGTATAACTCTAAATTCAAATCCATATGTGGTCCTATTGGGGAACATACTTGAACTATAACTAGGGCCTGTTCAGCATAGTTATTGTGTAGACCACAGGTTGTTGGGAAAGGTATGAATTCATCTTGCCTTCCCTCCAGCTATGGTTTAATTAGTAGGACATGTATCAGTAAAATCATTATCTCCCAAAAGTTATTTCAATCTAGAAATATTTTCTGGCTTTAAATAACCTGCAAAAAATTGATAAGGTTAAAAAAAAAAAAAAAAAAAAAAAAATCAACAAAAATAAAAACATCAATCACAGGTTGGCTTTGAAGGTGTTGAAGAAAAACAAATGGGCCTTGGCAGCTGGGCATGTTTGGAAATTGCTGCCATACTGAAAATGAGATCACCGATTTGCAGTGTGCCTTCAAGTTAAATCTGCTCTGAAGATCAATGTAACTGTTATATTCCATGCTAAGGCAATAAACATATAACACCAGGTGAATACTAGAAGAAAGGTTTATTGTACATAATAAGTCAATATGAAATATGGTACAGTTATATACACAGATTAATCTAGTAATGAGTGCCACTAATTGGAATGTCGGACATGCTTGTGTCGTCTCACTCAAGTCTCTCATAGATGGTTGACTTTATAGGTACTTGCTCCCTATAGTGTAATCATTCATGGGGGTGACTGGTTATTCCATTACATCAGTAACATTTTAGGAGTCTAGAAATTATACTCATAGTGAAACTAACTTCTTTTGCAATATCAGAAATTTTTATTCCTTGAGTTTTCCGTATTGAGGTTCTGACACAGGTGGGATTCATCAACTATGTAATAGCTTGCTATTGTGATAAACTTGGAAACAATACAGCTAACGAAGTATATTTCCTCAAGGTACCAAATGCAAGAAGTTCTACTCAGACATGATTTCCCCTAATAACTACCACTTTGTGGAATAGACTCATTTGTACTTGCCTGAACACATCAATTTTGATCTCTTCAAGTAATGGTGAAATCATCTCTTCTTTTTATGATCTTCGTTGCCATTCATATCACACACCTTATTAATCATTACTATTTTGACTGTAATCCTCTATCTTGAGAGTCTCTTGAGCCTTGTACTCGATGAAATTTAGTACAAATTTTTTTTTTTTTTTAAAATAAGTTTTTGTTCTATGACTTTCATTCTTGGTTTGCTATGATTTTTTTTTTTTGTTTTTTTTTTTATATATATTGAAGTCAGGAGAGACACAGAAACATTAAGTAACATTACCTAATGGGCTTGTGTAAAAATAGATGACAGATAGGGAAGGATAGTAAGGGGACAAACATTGCTTAGAGCTACTAAGAACAGGAAGTTTGGGAGAGCCATGTTTACCCATGTCTTGAAGGGACACAGAACAGAAGACTATTTTATAAATATTTATACTGCAATTTTTATCAGGATCAATTTTGGGGAATTGAAAAGTTTTTATTTTTTGTACTCTAATATATGGAAGTGGTGTTTGTCAGTTATCTATTTAAATAGAAAACTGCTTTCCTGATCACTACAATCTTAACCTGTTCAAGTGCAGAGTGAACTGTTATTTTCCCCACATATCTGCAAAAAACTGTGCTTCTTACTCAGTAACCCTCAACATCATTGTTAAAAAAAAAAAAAAAAAAACTAAAAGGAAAGAAAAAGGACAAAAAAGAAACAAAAAAAAAGGAAACAAAAAAGAAAAAAAAAGAAATAAAGGAAAAAAAAAAGGAGAAAAAAGGAGAAAAAAAAAAGAAAAAAAAAGGAAAAAAAAAAAAAAAAAAGAAAAAAAAAAAAAAAAAAAAAAAAGGAAAAAAAAAAAAGGAAAAAAAAGAAACAGCATATTTTAAATTGTGGACATTTAGATTTTTTCTTTTTCAATTTACAATTTTTGACAGTTGCATCAGTTGACCAATCCTGTTTTACTTGTAAATCTACTTTAGAGTGTCTGTAAGAAGTGCGGTTAGCAGTGTAGTATTACAGACCATTCCAGGTGTTAGGAGTTCAATCCTTACAAGATACTTTCATTATTGTATCTGTACGAAACAAAATTAAGCTTAAGAAATTTCTAATTATATAGCTAATTTAATTTCATGAAAATTCAGCAATGGTGTCAAATTTAGAGTCATTTTAGCTTTGGTACAGCAACCTGTCATAGCCCAGCATGTCAATGTAAGGCCCATTACTCTTTATATTTAACAAACCTTGAGGTGGATCAAAGGTCCAAGTTGAGCCAAGAAAAATGGCCGATAATAAATAAAATTAATATATATGGGTACTAATACATTTGTTACTTATATTTATTAATTTTCTTTCAAGCAAGAAATTACTTGAAATAATTCCATTGTTGCAAATACATAAGAAAAGAAGGGAATGGAGATATAGGGAGAGGGATTTGGAAAAGACTGAATGCAGGCAAGAGGAAATTAAAAAGAGAGAGGAGGAAATTTCAGAGAAACAGAAGATACTGCAAAAGAAAGGGATGTGGGGGGGGGGGGGCAAGAGGAATGGTGATTTTCTAAGTGTAGCTCAGATGTGGCACAAAGCTGGAAGTATGGAGGAGGCAATGAAATATGTAAAAACAAAAAGGCAGGAAAGATAAAGAATTAAATGAAAGAAACCAAGAAATGGACAGACAGAAACTAATCAGAAGAGAGAAGCATAGAGATTGAGAACTTTATGTAAAAAAAAAAAAAAATAGGTAGGAGAAGGAGGAAAAAAGACAATAGGTAAAAAAAAAAAAAAACAATAGGTAGGAGAAGGAGGAAAAAAAAATAGACAATAGGTAGGAGAGGAGGACAATAGGTAAAAGACAATAGGTAGGAGAAGGAGGAAAAAAGACAATAGGTAGGAGAAGGAGGAAAAAAGACAATAGGTAGGAGAAGGAGGAAAAAAGACAATAGGTAGGAGAAGGAGGAAAAAAGACAATAGGTAGGAGAAGGAGGAAAAAAGACAATAGGTAGGAGGAGGAGGAAAAGACAATAGGTAGGGAGAAAAAAAGGAGGAGAAAGAGGAAAAAGAGGTAGGAGAAGGAGGAAAAAGACAATATAGGGAGGAAAAAAAACAATAGGAGGAGGAAAAGACAATAGGGACAATAGGGGAGGAGGAAAAAGACAAAGAGGGAGGGAAAAAAAGACAATATAGGGAGAGGAGGAGGAGGAAAAAAGACAATAGGGAGGAGGAGGAAAAAAGAAAGAGGTAATTATTTCTATTGATTTTGGCATGAGAGCAAAAGATAGGTTCTACTGATTATTCTGTATTCAGTTCATTAATATCATCCATTTTAGATTTATTATCCTTGACCAAAGCAAAGAATGAAGCACTCCCTGGAGGAAGTTATGTGTTACTTTAAATAATAGTAGATTGTTCATTTGGTGGATGGCTTAAATGTAGATGTCAAAGAGCAGGGTTCAATTTTCTAATATGTGAATAGTGACAAAGAGAGGGAGGATAAAAAAGGCTATGAGTATTTATAGCCAATGTGTATTACTGATTTAACAAAACAGATCATTTGGATTTTCTTTTGTACTGACAGACATACAAATGGTTATTTAGTAAACATAGCTTACTCGAGACGAAAGACTACAGTAGTGGAGTATTTAGGAGAATTAAATTCACTACTAGTTAATTGGTTCACAAGATGAACTATTCTAGCATGGTAGGTGCCTGACTGAGTTTAGTGTGGTTTGGTTTGGTTTATGGCATATCAACCCACTGGGTCATTTAATGCTGAAATTTAATTTTCTTGGGAGCATTAGTAATTTTTTTTTAAAAAAAACAAAAATGTATTTTCATACTATCATAGTGTTTTGACAACAGTATGGGGGTTAACTATTTGCCCATAGCTGGGACAGGTGCTACTATCCTGAGTCAGTGTAGACCTGCAAACAACATCAATTAAGATGTGGTTCCACACTCCCCAAGACCTCCCAGAGGCCTTGCAGCTGGATGTAGTTTATCATTATACCCAGGAGTAGGAAGATTACATTTTCTGCGCAATACTAATGTTTTTTATGTCAGGTTACTCTTTGAGTGATTGTAAAAGGGCGTGAGTTGACAAACCCTTTTTGCGTGTTTTTTTTTTTCCATTCTTGGAATGAGCAAACTGTCTTCTATAAAAATGACCAACAATATTTTGATATGTTCATTCACAATTTAAAAGAAAAAAAAAATAATCTCATACATTTTTTTTTCTGAAATTTTGGACTGTTTTTCTCATTTTACAAAAAATATACTTATATCATTTTTAGCCCCACACTGACAAAATGCTTATAAGAAAAGACTTGTACCAAAGTTTTACCAAGATCAGAGATGGTTTTGGGTCGTTCAACAATAAGTCAGTGATTGGTCACTTAAGATTTGATAGATTTATCAGCAGATCAATGGGAATGTCACACTGAAGTAGGGATAAGTTATGCATACTACTGAATAGAGAAAAATCAATAGTTCATTGATAGATCTGATTATCAATATCATATTTCATGTAAATAACTGCAGAAATTTGGCTCCGTGGTTAAAGTAGATATGTAGCTAATGTAATGGTCAGTGACTAGGAAAGAAAAATCAGCAAGCCAATTTAGAATTCTGGCAGAGATTGTTGTGATCAATTTCACACAAATAGTCTTGGGGAATTTATGGATCCATCTTTTCTTACCACCAGCTATGGGTTAAATAACAGGACTGATTCTCAGCCTGTGATGGTCATTTGTTGGACATTAGCCTCCTCATATACATGACCATTACCATACCATACTGAACTAATGCATGTTGATGGGTGGATGTGACATGTGTGAATGATCATGTCTCTTTTCAATTTGTGATCACCCAAAGGTATTTGCATAAAGGAATGCAAAGAACACAAATGGAATTCAAACTCGTCTCTCCAATTTCTCATCTCTAGCTGTTATTCATTACACCACCTGATATCCTCAAGTGGCCACCCATCTAGGTACTGGCCAGGCTCAACATTGCTTAACTTCAGTGATCATATGGGAACTGGAGTTTCAATGTGATACAACCATAAGCATTAATAATGCTGGTTATTTAGATACACCAAAGAAAAACCATAAGTTGTTTCTTTTAAGTGAAAAGGCAAAAGTTGTTGAATTAAAGAAAGAAAAAAAAAAAAAGTGAAGTTGCTAATGTCTAAAGCAGTGTTTCTCAACCATTTTTAATTCAATGTGCATTTGTAGAATAAATAAGACTTTGGGGCACACTTTAAATTTTAATAAGGATAAAGAAATCACGTAATTTGAAAATAATAAAAGAAGTCTCCATTTATTTTTAAGACACTACATCGTTTATTTAAGAGACAGAGTTTTCATTAAAATGGATTTATGAAGAATCTTCTATTTTTCTTTTTAGAGAGACCGATAATGACCGATATAAATTCATAAAGCGAAAAGGAGAGGATTATTCACTCCTTAAAGATTAAGGAATTTAAGCATCCAGTTTAAAATATCAAATGACAAAGACTTGACTTAGACATGGAAGCCATGTCCTTGGAGTTTCAACCTTTTTAAAAATAAGGATTTTTTAGGTATAAAAATAATTAATAAATTATTCTTCTGTTAATTTGGGTTGCACCTGGCTACTTTTCAGAATGCATTAGCGCACCGGTTGAGAAACACTGATCTATGATATGAATCTTCTATACAGCTGTTTAATTATTACAGTATACTGTTAGAATTGTTATTGGGGTCTGGATCTCTTCAGGTTCAAGTGAAGTATTTTTTTAATATTTAGATAGAGAAATTTTATAAATGAAAAACAAAATAATCATAAATCAACATTAAAAATAAATTTCTATTAGATGAAAATCAAAATAATTAAGAGGTCTTCCAAATTATTCTTTATGATATATTTTTTTTTTTTATTTATTTATTGGTTCTGTAATTAAATTAAGATTTTTTTTTAATTCTTTTAAAATATCTACACCTCAAATGTAGTAAAGTGAATTTTTTTCCATATTGCATTCCCTCTCCTCAAAATTCTGGATTTGCCCCAGGTATGTTTTTATGTACAGAATAAAACATAGTAAATACATGGTACAGTACCATCCAGTTTCAGATGTCTGCAGGGTGCCTTGAACCCCTCCAGATAAAAGTGTGTGTGTACATACATACACAAGCACGTTGTCTGAGTGTCCAGAAACTAGAAAATTTGTATTCAGAGGGTATCCTGGAGCCATGGAAAACTAGAGACATCAAGAGTAATCTTCCTATCATTAAAATCCATTCTTTTATTTCAATGTTTAGTAATTGCTATTTGTTTCATGATGCAATGTCTATTATCATCATCTCCATTATGAGAGAGAGAGAGAGATAGAAAGAGAGAGAGAGAGAGAGAAAGAGAGAGAGAGAGATAGAAAGAGAGAGAGAGATAGAAAGAGAGAGAGAGATAGAAAGAGAGAGAGAGATAGAAAGAGAGAGGCTAAACGTGACTTACATACATGTGCACTTGATTAGTTTGAGTAGCAAGTAACTTAAGATTTAAATAAAAAAGTAAACATTTGGGTTTTGTCACTTTTATTCTTATGGAATGTAAAATAAAAATGGACAAACAAAATTTTAATTATTGGAACAATACAATATTTTTTTTTACTTTCAAAAACAAAAAAAAAGAAAAAGAAAAAGAAAGCAAAAAATTGTTTTTCCACAACCAATTAATTAACCAATTAACAGATGGCGATTATTTGGCTGCATGCTAACCCACAATGCAATTTTGTGTGGCCTCGATCAAGGCCAAACTTTCCACATATGAACAGGTGCTGTAAGAAAATACTGATCATTCTTGGCAGCATTTATGCTAGTGAAAAGGGATTTTAGGCTATGATAAAAATAAAGTCAAGAATATGAACACATTTGATTGAGGCATATTTACAAGTTTGAGAAGAACAACAATAATTCAATACCATCCAGAAGTTAAACATATGGCTGCATCAATTTAAAGCCGAATATCTTATTAACTGTTGTGTTAATGAAAATTTCACATTCTGTTGTTGCACTTTTCCTATATTAGTCTTTTCTATATCATTCATTTTATAAACAAAATAATACTCTAATTCTAAAATCTCACATATTCTGTAATGGAATTACATAAATACCTCCTTTATGAATACAAATTAGATAAATACTTCACACTTTAGGTTAAAATAACACTATGTAGTTTGAGGAATTAATTACTGTAAGTGGTTTGTTTGGTAGAGTGCATCATCATTTACCATAGGTTGCAAATGCCTTCGTAGATATCATACTATAGCGCATAAATTCCCCCTTGGAGAGATTTTCAATGCAGGTATATCATCTCTCAGTTGTGTCTCTGTCTTTGGGCAGAGTGCACTCAGGGGCTTCTCTCTCAAAGGACAGAGGGGCAACTGAGAAAATAATACTGAAGAGGTGCCCAGCCCTGGGGAACAGCCGCCTGAGGCTGCACCCTCCCATTGCACAAGACGGAGGGATCGGTGCTCGCACTGAGGCCAGCGCAACTGATGGTTGCAGGGGCTGTGGGGAATTTTTGTCCCTTGCCCAAGTGTACGCGCTTGGGTCTCCACTTTAAAAAGATCTTGTGTCACATCTCGTTCTGCCAGTCAATCCAAAGACTTAGTTCTATAATAAAGTGCTTAGAAATCGGAGAGCAGAGTTCGAATTCCAGTCGAATCCATTACATTCACTAATGTGGTAATACCTTTGGGAAAGGTATGAATCCTCTTCTCCCCCATCCCAGCTATAAGTAAATAGCAGGACAGACCAGGTTCTTTAGCTTTGGATGGCAACTGGTCTGCCGCAGAAAGAAATGGCAACTTACTGCAGGAAAAAATCTGCCACGTCAATCATGTATCGAAAGATCGCCTAAGCATGTATCACGCATGGCACATAACTAACTGACCCTTAGGACAGCTTAGTTCTGTAACAAAGTGCTTAATGGTTGATTTTGTTTAGTGGCATATTAATCTCTATGGGTTATTTGATGCCAAAATCTAAATATTTTGAACAGTTTTAAGTTTTCAACTGCAGCTAAAATGTATTGTTGGTCATTTTGCTATAAAATTTATAGTTGATAATTCTGCTTTAAAAATGTATTGTTGGTAATTCTACTATAAATATGTACCATTGGTAACTTTTTTATATAAAATGTACTGTTGGTATTTTTATACTTTCATAGTGTTTGGAGGATTCATTATTTGCCCATAGCTTGGACCCTAACAGCTGTTACCACTTCAGATCAAGGTGGACTTGGGAACAACAGCAATTAAGAGATGGTTCCATGCTCCTCAAAACCTCCCAATCAGAGACCTTGCTGCCAGATGTAGTTTATCATCATAATCAGGACTACAAGACACTTTAGAGTTAGCTTTCATCATTGGACCCTGCATAAAATGAATGCTGTCACACGTTGGCAAGTTTCAATATATTTCAAACATTATTAGTTTTCTCCATTTTATGCTGTATGAGTTTGTTTTCATGCGTGTGTATTTATTTTTGTGTGCGTTGATGCACTTGGGGACTGCTGTCCAATTTTATTGTGCATTGCACAGCGACAAGAAAAATACATAAATTATTTTAAAGGCTTTCATTTTTTTTTTTTTTTTTTACATAGCTGAAGAAACATTTCTCTTTACCAGATTAAATTTAATTCAATCTAGGGAAGAAAATCTAATTTACAGACCAAGGCAGGTCTTTATTTCAAGTTTTTTTTTTTTTTTTTACATGGATGTTCACCTTGTACAAAACCCAAGAACCACTTGAGTTAGAGGGTCACAGTTTGAGGCATCGCCTCAAGCAAGGTGATAATGCCACCAAAATGCAAGGGGTACACCAGAAGTGCAAGAGAAGGAAAGGTTTTAGAAGTAAACAGAAAACCCAATCCTAAACAAGAAACGAGATAAAACAACTATTCCTGTTCAAAAGAACTGGGGAGGAGTATGAAATGGATGTTAGGCAAAACTATCTACTCCTATTGAGGAAAGAAAAACAAAAAAGTAAATACATAGTAATAAATTGAGTTTTTAGGTAGAGATGTTAGAAGTATAGAGTTGAAGTAGACTTTAGGAATAGGGACTGGAAACCCAATCCTTCGCTCATGTTCAAAAAGACCAGAGAAGAGTGTCAATTGGATGATAGGCAAACCTATCTTACTTGCCCATGAAAAAAAAAAAAAAAAAAAAAAGCTATTTTTCTGTCCATTTGTTAATGAAAGTCGATTGGATAATATAAAATTATTTCAGTTGTTAATATGCATGAATACTATTTTAGACCAAGCAACACTATATAATCTTCCTTGTCTCATATTTTTTTAAATAATTTTTTTATCAATGCTCTGTTTCCATTATTTTTTAATTATATTAAAAACAAACAAATGAATCAATTATAACATCCTAGATTTTGCATAATAAAATCTGACACCTTCAAACTAAGTTATTGATATTTTTTTTTATAGATCTAAACAAACTTATGACATATTGCTTACCTAAAAATATTCCAAAAATTTTACTCATATCAGTTGGTTTATTTTGAAAACATTAACTTGTTTAATAAAATCTGTATATATTGAAATGGTCAGTCAAAAATCTTTTGGTCCAACAGATGATAAAATCCACAAGTGTGGGTGGGTGTTGATGAAACATAGCTAAAGAGGTATATGAAAGAGATTCCAGATTCAGTCTGATGATAATAGATGTCTATATTCTTGAGAGAGAGAAAAAAATCCCAAAGAGAGAGAGAGAGAGAAAGATAAATGAAGAAAAAGAAAATGGGGGAAGAGCTAGTAATTTCCTTGTTTGCTTTCACAGACCTTTTTGGATTCTTATTGATCCAGTGTTAGAAAAGAGACACGCCCACTCATATACTCCACCCACACAAGAGCATGTGATTCTACGTGCGTGTATGCATTCATTCATTTATTCTGAGTCATATAATTTTTGGTTATTGCATGACCAGTAAGTATATCCCAGCATGATTTGATCAATAAAACAGCTCTGTAAATAAAAATGGACCTGTTTAAAGTGGCAA